GGAGGTCTCGTGAGAAATCCTGGGAACACCCTTCGGGCCGGGCGAAAGGGGGGGGTAGCAAGGGGGGGTTTGAGAATCAGCTCACGAAGCTGATTGTCCCGGCGCCTCCCGGCGCCAGAGGCGCCCATGTATCGAGGAATGGGCCCCTCGGTGGGGCTGAAACCAGCTGCACGCAGCAGATTTCGTACCCCCCCTTTCCCTACCCCCCCCTTTCGTCCGGCCCGAACCCTTCAGGGCAGACGAAAGTGGGGGATAAGAAGGAAGGAGTCCGCGAATCGGCTCACGTCGATGCTTCTCCCGGTGCCTCCCGGCGCTGGAAGACGCCATGGCGTCGAGGAGGGAAGGGCGCCTGGCAGCAGGGCCGACACCACCTGCACGCAGCAGATTTCGTACCCCCCCCCACCTTCCATATTCCCGCTCCTTCGCCCGCTCAGAGGGATCCTCGCCGCCTGGCTTTCGGGTCATCACTCGTGTCTGCGGCGGCCGTTCGGGACGATTCGGGCACCCCAGGAGAGCTCTCGGCAACGTGCAGCTGCTGGAAAGCATCCCGAGGCCCAAGACCGCCGAGAACCACTATCAGGGTGCTCGAAAACCTCGAACCGACGAAGATCCTTCGCCCGACACTCGGGGACACCGCTGGCCACACCCGAGGGGTGCGCCGCTTTGGCGCTTGAAATCCTGCATGGTGGCCGGCGCGCGCCGTCGCCTGCGCGGTGCCCGGCGCTGGTGACCAGCACCACTGAATTATGCTGGGCCCACGTCGTGTGGTCGCACCGCCCAGCGGTGCGCAAAGCCGCCCTCGTGCTGCAGGCAGACGTAGGCACTAAGTGGAGTGTCCCCAGGTCGCTTGCAGTCGACGTGCTACCATCAGGGGCGCCGCATGAGGAACGACAAGAGCTTGTCTGGCCACGGCGAGCCTCAGCCACGAGCAGGTCTTCCGACCTAGATAAAGAGACTGCCCGAAGAAGCAGTGCCCCTCCAGAGCCCGGAGTGGTCCTTATTTCGGCGTCTCGATTGTGGGCAGTGACCGGAGTGTGCTCAGGTCCCCGAAGGTTCTCTGCGTCAGAGGTCCCCCCCATGAAGACCCCAAGGAGCACCTGACAAGCCTCCTGTCCATGACCCATGCATGGGGGGGGGGGCAGGGCTGAACCTAAACCGTGTTTTTCGTTTTCGTTTTGTTTTCGTCTTCCCTCGCTCTCGTCTTCCGTCCGCCTCTGGCCGCAAAGCGAAGCCGAAACGACAACGGCCCACGACAGCGCCAGAACACCGCTTGGGTCCAGCCACTTGGGGGGGAGGACGGGCCGAAGGCCCCCATGGCCGCACGGAGGGGGGGGGGGGGCCAAAAGGGTGGGGACTGGCTCGGGCGGCGGACCAAACCGACCCGAGGAGCGACGGGGTGCGTCGTCGACGGGATCGGCGACGGGCGCCCGCCGGGGGGCTGTGCCCGGTGCTCCCGGGGGAGGCTCGGGCGCCCGGGCCCCGAGCGGCGAGGGCGATCGCGGGCAGGGGCGTCCCCACGGGAGTGGGGGTCGGGCGTGTGCCCCTGCAGGCGGATGCGGGGCGAAGGCCGAGAGGTATAGCCCAGGCATGCTCGACCAAAAACAGGAATAGCAAGAAACAAAAGCCGCCCACCTACTTTTTTTGTTGTGTGTGGGGGGGGGGGGCTATTTTTTGAATCTAGAGGGACGCGCCCGACTTAGCCCCAGAGCCCGCCCCCCTGCCGTTGGCCCCGAAAATCGAGCACCAGGACCTGGGAGCCTGGTGGCAGCCGCCCGCCTCCATCGCTTGATGCTGCGCGGTCTGGCTCCTCAAGCGAAGCTTAGGTCGGGCCTGTCCCTCTACAGAAGGAATGTTCAAACATAGTCCAAACATAAGATGGGGACGCTGATTGTTTTCCCACTATGCTTGGAAATGTGTTTGGATATGTGTGACTAGTATATATCGCCCAAGATCCCCCCGTAGGGGGACATGCCCGACCTAACACGAAGCATGACTCATAACGGGCGGCGCCCGATGGTAGCCGAACTCTGCGAACGGCGGGGAACTGGACGAGGAGGGACCTCAAAGGATGACGGGGGGGGAACCTCAGAGTCATGATGTTCCAACCTCTTCCGCCCTGATCACCCGAAAGAATTTCGAGCACCAAGAATGTACCGAAGCTGGAGCGTCTTCACGTGTCGGGCCCTGGGGGGCGATGCTCGTTCGACACTGTTGGGACACTTTTCTGGGTGCTCGAACCCATTTCTGGGATGTGGTCCTGAAGTACGATGTGAACAACATGACCTCAGAGGACGACGAGGGGGACGGGGGGAGGCCGATCGCGATGGGACGGGGGGGCGAGCTGGGGAGGGGGGGGAGACTGGGCGAGGAGGGGCGAGAGGCGCCGAGGCCAGCGGGAAGAGAAGGGAAGAGGGAGGAGATGTATGGCGAGGAGGCCCTCCTCCCCTAGAGGAGCAGAGAACGGCACAAAAACATACAGCAGGAGCTCGACCACAAGAGAAACCTTCCACAAGAATGCCCGACCCTGAGATCCCAGGACGTCCATGGATTTCGGGCGTGGGGACGTTACGCTTTCCAAAGCAAAACCATCGAAATCCAAGAACCACAGGGCAGCCTGGAGGCAAGCAGGGTGTTTCTTAAGATGGGTCTTCACTGTAAACTGTTGGCCCTCCGCGCGGATTTCTTGGATCTGCGCGGGGGCCACCTCCCCGGCGCGCCAGGAGCGCGCCAGGGGCCCCGGCGCGGATCCAAGAAACCCGCGCAGAGCGCAAACAGGTTGTGTGCCTGTGGTGCTCCTCCTCCTTCGATTCCCGCCTCCTCCTCCCCCGCGCCCTGGCCCCTCGTCCTTCCTCGCCCCATCCCCTTCCTCGTCCCTCATACTTCAGAGGACAAATCACCATGCACATGCACCGATTTGGGCCAGGTCCATCCTGAGCCCAAGATCGGTGCACACGCCCTCCTGCCTTGGCCAGGAAGGCATATGCACCGATCCTGGGGCCGAGGATGGGCCTGGCCAGGACCGGCGCATGCACACAGTTCTCCTCGCCCGAAGCCTTCCTCGCCCCTCATCCCGAGGAGGAGGGCCCTTCCTCGTCGACTCCTCCCTCCTCGCCCCCCCCTCCTCGCCCCTCCCCCCTCCTCGCCCCTCCCCCTTCCTCGTCGCTCCCCGTCGATCCCTCCCTCCTCGCCCCTCCCCCCTCCCCGACCCAGATCATTGATTCCTGGAATTTTCCAGGTGCGACCGGTCGCGACGGTAGCGTTCAGGGTGGGTCGGTAATATCGGTAGCGGTCGCGGCAATATCGGTCGCGGTCGCCTTCGGTAACATGTCGGTCGCGGTCGGTAGCATGTCGGTCGCGGAGTCGGTCGCGGTCGGTAACAAGTCAGTCGCGGATCGGTCTGGGTTCGTCGACAGCAGGGGGGGCGATCTGACAATGAAAGAAGAGTTTCGTCTGACCGTACCAGTTTCGGTCTGACAATAATCTGACGTCAGGTCATTGTCAGATCAATGTTCTGACAATGATCTGACGCCATACGATTGTCACATCGGTGTGGGCAGACGACTTGCTTGAGCTTCCTCTCCTTCTTGTCCCTTTCACGTCCTTCCTCTCCGTGCTTCCTCCTCGTCCTCCTCCGTATCTCTGTCGCATCCTGCCCCCCCCCCCGCCTCTGCGTGCCGACTGTCGTTATCTTCCAAATCCTCCCCCACCGCCCCTTCTCTTCCCCTGCTACCCGACCGCCCTTTCTCAGCTGCTCCAGCTCCTCCCTCCTCTCCTTATTTCTTCGTTGGGCTCAAGCGCCATGGAGGTGGACGCCACGTGCCTGTGGATTGAGCACGATGGGGGGCCCGCCCCCCCAGGGCTCGGGATCCCATGGCGCGTCGTGGAGATTGGGGAGGTCCCGCCAGGCCTCCCCATGACCAGCGGGCGCAACCGCAAGCCGAGCAGGAGCTGGATCGCCCCTGCTCTGCTGCAGATGACACCCCGCCCGTGGGCGGGGTGTCCAAATTTTATCGCGGTCACTGGCTATGGAGGCCAGTGGCCCCGAGAGGGCTGGAAGGTGGACGAGGGGTGGGCGCCAGGTCAGCCTGGGGCGCTCACCTTGATGCCCGTGCGGTGCTCCGAAATCCTGATGTCGTGGAGCGAAGACGGCCGCGTGCGGGTGCAGTGGTACGTGCGGGTGCCGTGCCTGCCCTACCGCTTGTACTTCATGCGGCGCTGAGGGTTGTGCGGGATAAAAAAAAACTCCTCCTCTTCCTCCATGTCATTGTCATCCCTCTTCTCTTCCATTTCATTCCTTCCCTTCATATTCCTTTTCCCCGCTTGGAAACGGGGGAGCGATGAGGAGGCGGGGATCTCGGGACTGAGCGGGACAGGGAGACAACTGGAGATCTCGGCACTGATAGATATACATATATATATATATATATGTAGGATGTAGGGGGAGAGAGAGAGAGAGAGAGAGAGTTGAGAAGTGAGAGCTGAGAGCTGAGAGAGAGAGGGAGAGAGAGAGAGAGAGAGCTTTGCCATGGGGCCGAAGGCTTCTGCGAAGCCCCGCAGGTCGACTGCCGACCTTTAAAATGACAGGGGGGAGGGGGGAAGATGGACAGGGGAAGGAGAAGGAGGAAGAGGGCTTCCAAGGGGGAGGAGGGGGGGAGAGGGGAAGAAAGGACAAGGAGGAGGGGGGAAAGAGAAGGGCGAATACGAGGAGGAGAAGGAGCGCCGCTAAGCCATTTTGGCCAAGGGCACTCTCGCCCCGCCCCTGCGCGGGCTCTTTACCCCCTCCAGCGGGCGGATGTCCGCGGGCGCCGAGTTTGATGGCGTTTCCCCATTGGGCCGTTCCTTGTTAGAGTATATCGCGCAGGAGGGGGTAAAGAGCTCATTCAATCTTGGGCACTACTACTTTCTGCACAAGGACCACGCGGTCCACGGCCCGAGCATCGCGGCCATGGACGGCCTGGTGGTTGGCAGTTTGAACCACGCCCGTTTTTTTTTCCCCTCTGCCAACCCTCCTGATGGCGGGGGGGAGGGGGGGGGGGCTTCAAGAATCAGAGGAGGCTTTCCCAACCCCCTCCACGATCCAGAGGAGAGGGGGGTCGGGGCGCCTCCTCTGAATCTCATTGATCATTAGTTGTATTTATCCTTCACCCTCCCTGCCCCCTCCTGCCCCAGGTGGCAGTGCTGCTGGCGGCCAGCCCAGACGCAGAGATCCCCTTCGTCCCCCTGCGCACGGCGTGCGCAGCCGTGCTGGACAGGCTGCCCGACGACGACGATGTCGAGGGCGATAGTTTTGAGACGTTCGTTTTTATGTTGGTACCCCGTGCGCGTTCAGATATTATTACTTGTTATGTTCCCTCTTCGTTTCTCGAACTTCTTCAAATATTCAGTCCGTTGCCCATCTGGAGCGGAGGTTTAGGGCGAAGGGGGATGATGGGGGGAGGCGGGAGAAGAAAGAGAAGGATGGACGACGATGGGGGCGGGGGGGAGGGGGGAGAAGGCGGAAGAGCATAAGGGATGATGAGGGAGAGAGGTCTGGTGAATAAGGAGGGGGGGCAAGTTGGAAGCGATCGGAACGTGGGGGGGAATTCAAATCTGACGACCGTCTGATGTCAGACGATTGTCAGGTTGGCAATTTTCAATCTGACGGTCATCTGACGTCAGACGTTCGTCAGGTTTGAGGTTCATTTCTGACGACCATCTGACGTCATGCGATTGTCAGGCTGGCAGGTTCCAATCAGACGGTCTGGTTGGAACAACCCAACCTGACAATCGCATGACGTCAGATGGCTGTCAGATTTGAACCGCAAACCTGACAAACGTCTGACGTCAGATGACCGTCAAATTGAAAGTTGCCAACCTGACAATCGTCTGACATCAGACGGTCGTCAGATTTGAACCGCAAGCCTGGCAAACGTCTGACGTCAGATGACCGTCAGATTGAAAATTGCTAACCTGACAATCGTCTGACATCAGACGGTCGTCAGATTTGAATTCCCCCCCCGTTCCGATCGCTTCCAACTTGCTCCTCACTCCTCGCCCCCCCCCCCGCCCCCAGAGGCATCCAACGGTGGCGAGGGAAGCGCCGGGCCCGCTCGAGAAGAGAGCGGGCTCGCTCGCGGACAAGCTGAGCTGCGTCCTCAAGCACTGCAGAAGATTGCGAGACAATGCAGTTCGCCGCCGCCAGGCGCGCGGGGGGCCGAGGGCAACGTCGACGACGGAGACCTTCACGACGACGATGTCGCCGACGACGGGGATTGCAACGATGAGGTGCACGGCTAAAGACGTCGACGACGAACCCGATGACGACGAACGTCGTGGACGACGGTGGCGGCGGCGATATGGTTGCGGCGTCGTCGTCAACGCCAAAAATCATGGTGGTGATCGCGATGGCAGTGGAGACAGTTTTTGCGACGGCGTTGACGACGATTATCGCAAGGCCCAGGCTATGATAGGGAGTGGCACGGGAGGTGGGTAGCGGTAGAAGGAGGCGCAGGAGCGGGGGAGCGGTAGGAAGGGGTAGGATGGGGTATGAAGGGAGGAGTGGTCGGAGGTGTGGAAGGGTGCGCAGAGTAGGGATTGGTAGGAGGGATTGGCAGTGGATACAAAGGGAATGGTAGGAGGGGGGGCGCTGCTAGGCGTTGACGGGCTGCCTCGCCGCCGAGCGCGAGAAGTTGGTGCGCCTGTGCAACCAGATGGGCGTTGACACATCCGAGTGCATGGCCAGGACGTGCACTCCGATTTTTTCTTTCATCAGGAGGCACCCTGGATGAGCAGACGGTTCAGAATGGGGAGGGGGGCAGGGATAATGGAGGAGGGGGGTGAGGGCGATGCTGATAAGGAGGCCGATGAGTAGGAAGGCAGGGGGGACGAGGAGGTCGAGGAGAAGAGGGAGGAGGAGAGATATTCAAGACAAACCGTCCACGCGCATACATCAATGCGCATAGGCATGTCATACATCCACGTGCATAGGTATGCGCGCGTTGAACGACACACATCAGCGATTAGGAAATGGAAAACGGAGGAGGAATGGGTGGACAAGAGGAGGAGGAGTTAGATGCCCTTTAAAATGACAAGGACAAGGACATGGATACGGAGGAGGAGGGCGCGGGGGCAGGGGCAGAACTCATCTTATTAAGATCAATTTTCTCTTGAGCCTGCCGCCACCTCCGCGTGCGCGGAGACTGCCTTCGACGTCGCCCCCGTCCACGCCGCGCGCGCCGCTGACGCCTACGCCCACGACTCCACCGCCGCGCCCCTCAGCGACCAGATCATTTCTCCAGGACCTACTCTTGATTTCTCACGCTTTGCGGTGTAACGCAGCAGATAGGAGAAACTATGAGAGAGGAGGAAGGGGCGGGCGGAGGAGGATAATGATGGAGAAGGACGATGGAAGGGGGCGGGGGGAGGAGGAGAAGCATGGATGACGAGGAGGGCGGGGGGGGGGGGAAGGATGAAGAGCAGAGGGGACGAGCAGGGAGAGAGGTCTTGGGGAGAAGGAGGGAT